GAATTTCTACTTTTGACAGAATTTCAGATTTGTGAAAGCTTAGCCTTCTGCTTGTAAGCTTATATTTTGTTAAGATTACAACTTTTTTTCCCTCCATGTTTCTTAACTCATTATGTTTTTTTTGGCAGATTTATATAGTCGCCACTAAAGCAATAATTTTAATTGCTTTGTCAATGATCCACATATTATTTTATTGAATTTTCATTGGACATCATAAAATTCTTTAAATCAAGCATGAATATTAATATATATCCTTAAATCGTATAGAACTTGAGTATTTTTGTTTGAAACTCAAGAAATAATTTTAAGATAGCAAGAAATTTTTTTTATGGCCAATTTGTTCTCTGTTGAATTTTAATTTGCTCATGTATCACACTTGGCCCGACTAATAGGTTATTGGCATATTAGATCTGGAAAACTAGATGAAAGTTAAGGATAGTGAGTCTAGGGACTTTGTAGAAAGCTCTAGTGCCTTTATATGTATCCCCAATAGGGTGAAAGAAAAGATTAGAGAATCTAAAGATCTCGAATGGTCTAAAAAAAATCTAAAGCTCACCCAAAATTTGCCAGTTCACCCTTTATTTAAATGATTAAGAGGGTTACTAGAAAGACTACACCTAGAAGAAATATAAAAATATGATATGATGTACTACTACTTACTGACACAAACACATCTTGATAAGTCTTTGGAATCAGGGTTGCCAAACAAGTCTAGGCTGGTGGCTCCTTAAGAATAAGGAGAAGTTCCTTCGAACTAACATCAAGTCCTTTGGAGTGAGAGGCGACTCCCCAAAATGATAATATCAGCAAGCTAGGGATGAATTCATCCCATAATTTTTTAGACGTAGTCTTTAGAGGTTAGTATTTCTTAAAGCTTCAATAGGAATGTTTGAGGTAGGCAAATGGCCTTGGTCATAGATAGCTACTATGAATGAGTGTGTTGAGAAAAAAATATTATCAAAGTGTAGATAGGTATGGACGAGTCTTGTGTGGAGGAGCTCACGAAAAATTATTGCATTTTGATCTATTCTAACAAATGAGTCCTTACATTGTGATCTCTATAGGGTAAATGGTAGTTTGTTTTTGGGAAGGTGCCAACTACTCTACTGTTTCAAGATCCATTTGGGTGAGTTCAATGTTGGCATTAAATCTCACCTTTGATAAAAGGTTTGGATGGCGATCAAACTACAACCATCATATGAATTTTAGTGTTAATAGTTAATCAACACTAGCACTAATTAGCATCTAAAGTTTATTAGTAGACAATTTCTAGATTCATATTCTTCGTAGCTTAGTCTCTCCTCCTATATATAGAATAACAAGGTCATGTCTAAATGTTTTATAACCTATAAGTTTTCAGTCCAACATCATCAAATACCTTTTAATAACACATAGCCAACATTTGGTGGACACCAACATTCAAAACTCATCATTCTAATGGCTGACTCTCACTTCTTGTATGGAGATTAACCAAATCAACCACCTAATGTCATATGAACTATAACATTCACATTGAACATTGTCCAACTAAAACCTAAAATTAATTTTTAACATATGATAAAACATATATTCATTATACATCATTCGTTAACATGCAATGCTTATCTTTTTGGTTACTTAGTCTGTCATATTATATGGAAAAAAATCAAATAGCAATAAATAGCATTTAATGCTTATAATAACTAGCATTAGACCTTCATAAACCGACCAAGTCTCACTTCCAATAATTGTTTAATTGGTTATATAATCTCCTATAAAATAAGGAGATTGGCCAAGTTGACTATTAGATATCAGATGACATTTGATACACCTCATATACCATCATTTATTACATACGAAAGACTGATATTTTTTCATGAACCAATATATGTGGTCCATCATTCTATTTTTTTAATCTCTCCTCTAATAAGAAAAATTGTTAAGTTGACTATCAATTTCGCTCACCCTATGATGTTCCTTAGTAATTGTCACCTAATTCCCATTGTTGTCTGAACATTAATAATCCTTGTCTCTTTAGAAACCCAATTTTACCTCATTTAAGAAGGTTAAGCAAGTTAATTATCTTCCTTTTTCAAACCACAAATATTTTTCACCATCCATCATCTCCGAAATGCTAACATATTATGTAAACTCTAATATTCCTTTCTACTGTAAACATAGGCATATTAATAATCTATATATGATGCTCATCTTATCAATCACATCGCATCCGTGATAAAAAGAGAACAACCAAGAAAACTACCCACCAACTCTTGATTATAACTCAAAATTCATGATTGCTCCTAAAACAAACATGGAAGATATCTTCTATAATTCATATTGAATGTATTATATTAGCACCTTCCTAATTACAAAAAAAGGAAAATTTTGTGATAATTTACTCATACTAGTGAAACTATTTAAACTAGGGAATTCCAACTAAAATTTTCCTTTATTAGATTTTTATTGTAATAAAATATTATTTTTTTCACAAGTACTTTCTCTCAAGTTATACATGAGTTGATGATTTTTGCTCAATACTAAAATTATAAACTCTTGCTTTATCATTTTGAATATTCCATTATGCATAAGTTTTATGTTATGAGAAGCAAATAAAGATTGGAGGGCAACCCTTGTTAGAGTTATGTATGAGCATTCATGATACTATTTTAAGGCACAATTATAGTTAGGTAAATCCTTCCTTTCATAATTATTAAATATTCAAAACAACCTTAGCTTTCTCAAAATAGTGTCAGTACTATAAATATAGTTAATGTGTATTAATTAAAAATTATGTTTATTTTTATTATCTTAAATTTAAGTAAAAATATGCATTTTAGGTTATGTTGTGTATTCTTGTCTTAGGATAATTTCATAAATTTTAAAAATTAGAACATGTACTGTAGTGCCCCAAACACCTGCACCGCAATGCCTAGAACACCATAGCACTAGAACTTGATATTGTAGTGCTCAAGTCTAGGGAAAATTAAGAATAATTTAGCACCATGACGGAACATCATGCAACACCACAATGCTATGAGAGCTTTAGCCCCACATAATGGATACTGCTGCACTCTGCACTTTATCAAATTATGAGTAACCAAGCATCAAAGTGCCAATCTCTATAGTGTAACAATGCGAGAAGATGTGTGCAAGCTTCGTAATGCCTATTCTTATATAGTGTCATAGTGGATCAATTAAGAAAGGAAGCATTATGCTCGGTTAATCTGCCTTCATGTCTGGTCTTCCCAACACCACATCAAAGCCAACTATATAGGGTCAAGATGATAGTTCATTATTATAACACCACAGTGTCACTCTATCAAGCGTTATGATGCCTGAGTTAGTTTATATAAAAATAAAAATAGTTTTTTATGTTTTCTTTTAAGGAGAGTCAAAGGGATAGCGATGTTAGGTTTTCTAGAGTGGTTGGTCATCTTTAGTAAACAAAACACTCCTTATGAGTGAAAGTGAGGGAGTAGAGAGTGATAGAGTAATGAGGAAATTACTATACAAAGAATCCACCTACAAGATTTATTTGGATTCTAAACTTTGTGTGAGATTTTCTTCCTCTTTTTTTTTTTTTTTTTTGAATCTTTCTAAAGAAAGTAATCAAATGTATTTTTATTTGAATTAATTATATGGCCATCTAACTTCTTTATTTTGGACTAATGGTGTAAATAGTCTTTATTTCTCCTAATGTAAAATCTTATAGGTAAATGTGAATGGTTGTTCTCAATTACTCATGTGCTTAATTAATTTTATGCAATATCCATATATGAATTTAAAATCTAGTGTGAGACATTACCTCAATATTGAAATGTTGGAATAATTAGAAGGTTTGAGATAGTGAATTTTCATCCTAGATATAGGTGGATTAGGATTCTAGGGTCTTTAGAGATGATTTCATTATAGAAAGGCCATAAATTTCTTTTTACAGACCTATAAGCTTAATAGAGATCTATGGGTGTGTATGTTTTTATTCATACCTATTGTTGAAGAGACTGGTTAGGAAAACATATGTTTTTTTTCCGTCACTAGTCCAAAACATATTTAATTCAAGTTATCCTCACTATTTATTACATTACTCAGTAGTACTTTGTCTACACCTTTGATTTCTTTATGTAGGTTAAATTATATGTCTTAAGTAGACAATACTAGAGTTAGTTATAATATACTTTTTTCTAAGTGAGACTATAACTCTTCTAATACAATTTATTACTTGATAAGCTCATGCTCGAAGCATACAGAACATACGTTCATGTAGTAAGCAAGCTCATTTTCTTGAATAAATGAAGTCTCCATCAAGTTTTTGGCACCATTGTTAGGGAACATAACACGTCCTTCTACAATTATCTTTATAGTATCCAAAAAGATGCATATTTAACTTGGTTATTTTGTTTAATATTTACTTGGTTTGTTATAATTACATTTATTACTTTTGTTGTCATTTATGAAGATTTGAACATGGATTATTTTATAATTATTTATTTTTAATTTATTTCAATATATTCCATTCACTTTTTTAGTGCATGCATAGTAGATCCAAGAAGGAACCCTTATTTTTTGACCTAGATATCGAAATAACCCTTACAAAAATCTATAAAACAAAAAAGATTTTTGTAGAAAGAATAGTTGAAGCAAATCCAGAACAAAACCAACTTAAATCTCTTAGGGAGTACGTTAATCTCCTAGTAGATAAAATTCATCGAAGTATCAATCAACTTACTATAAAAAAATTTTGAGCTAAAATTGGCTATTATTCAAATGGTTCAAAACTCCACATTTGGAGAAACTCTTGTTGAGGATCCCAACTTACATTTATATAATTACTTAAAAATTAATGGAAAATACCAATACAATAAAGTTAGTGATGATGCTATTAGACTACATTCGTTTTCATTTTTTTAAGGTATACATCTAAATTGTGGTTGCATTTCTTGCCCCAAATCTCCATAATCATTTGGAATGAATTTGAACATAAGTTTATAACAAAGTACTTTCTACCTAAGAAAAATGTTATGTTTACGAATGATATTACTTTATTTTTTTAGTATGTTGGAGAGTCAATTTATGAAAGCTGGGAAAGGTTTAAGAAAATTCTTAAAAAGTGCCCTCATCATGATTTTTCAGATTAGCTGGTTATTCAAATGTTTTATAATGGGTTTCTAAGATCCCTTGTGTCTATAAATAATATGGTAGTTGGATGTTCTTTTATGAAATTTTTTTTAATGATTTGTATGCCTTAATAGAGGTAATAGAAACAAATAACTTATTAAGGCCTTCTGATTGGGTGAATCCTTAGAGAGTTGCTAGTGTGTATGAGTAAGATGATCTATTTATTTAGACTCCTCAAGTATCATCCATCTAAAAGATGTTAGACAATATTCGAGTAAGTGTAGTCTCAAGATCACCTTCACACTTGGATAAGAATGAATTAAATTTTAGTAGTGAGTCTAGTGCTCAAGGAGTTGAGAATTTTAATGTTATTAGAAGATTAAATAATACCTATTCAAATACATATAATCCATGCTTGAGGAACCTCCCTAGTATCCATTATAGTAATAATAATTATGGAAATCAAGGGATTACAAATAAGTCCAACCTGTTTTTTTTTTTTTTTTTTTGAATAAAAGATGCATCTTGCATTAAAGAAATCAGGAAAAAAAATACAGGAAGCTATTGAAAAAGAAATCTATGACAGTCCTTCCTAAACAAGTGTAAAAAGCTTGTTGGAAGTTTTGTCTCTACAAAAGAGTCCCAATAAAAGTCACCTAACAAAGTAAGATTGGCACATAAATCTGTCGTTTTATTACATTCTCTAGGAGCGAAGAGAAAAAATGATATTTTTGAATGCTTGTAAGAATTAGAGGTCCGGTTTCATACCTTTGTTGGTCTTCATATTTATTGAATCTTGGAGCAACTTTATGATATTCACATTGTCTCATTCAATAATTATTCCTTTATATTCACAAAACCAATCTTGAATATAGTTTCCAAATGTAAGAATTGCTTTGATTTCAAAATAAGCAATATCCCAATGTAACATATTTTTTCCATAAGCACATATCATTCTGTCTTTGTAATCTCTTAACATTCCTGCTACTCCTGCAACATAAGATTTTGTTAATGCCGCATCTACATTCAATTTTATCCAACCTTCGGGAGGGGGACACCAAGTTTTGTGCAGCAATTGCTGGTTGGTGTTCCAATTCTTCTCGATTGAAGCTGAATGTAAGTAAGAAGCATTAAAAATGATCTCTGTTGAGTGTAAGCAATGGAAAGCTCTATTTTTCCATGTTTTCCAAGGTTCCGTGATTTCCAATTGAAGTAAACTGTCGTGGCGTAAATTTTTACTAGCCCGCTGTCTTTATAAGCTTTATGTTTTAGGTTCCTCTAAACAATCATTGAGATTTTGAAATAATGGGATGCTGAATCCCCAATGTCCCAGCTTTTGTATTATTTCATTTAGTTTGCTACATTTCGTGACAACGTGTTCTATTTCTTCAATTATTTGACATCCTCTAGGACAAAAAGAATTGTTTGCTAGTCTTCTATGACATAACCATTAGTTAGCTGGAAATGCATTACTCAACACTCTCCACCAAAAGAGTGATACTCTTTGGTTCAATTTACATTTTTTCCGCCAAGTATACTTCCTGAAATTACTGTTAAGATTTTTGGTGTTAGCTTCAGTGCATAGGGATGAGTTAGTTCTTCCAGAATTGGTGCAGATTAATTCAATCTTTTCTTCTATGCTATCTTCCCCTTTTTCCATTTGCTGAATGAGATTTATCATATCTTTGGAGAAAAATTCAGACATTTTCTCTAAATTCCAGTTACCGCAAAAGTCCTTAAGAAATGAAACTGTTTTATCATAAAGTTCCACTGTATTGCACATTGCCGGCCAAGTGTTTAGACATCTGTCTAGAATCCAATTGTCAGCAGTGATATTTATTCTTTTACCTTTAGTTACTTTCCATCTAATAATTGGCTTTAGATAATTGATCCCTTCTTTTATGATTTTCCAAGACGGTGAAGACCCTCTCTTCATTCCTTCCTCCCAGATTTTGTCACCATATTTTCTTTTAAGAATTTTATTGAGCAATGATTCTTTGTTTTGTAGATACATCCAAGCAATTCTCAACATCAAAGGTCCCTTCCTTTTCAATGTTCCTTGGATACCAAAACCACCTAAACTAGTAGGTAGACAAAGAGTAGTCCAAGCAATGTAATGCATTCCTTAGTTCCCATTCTCTTAGTGCAACAAAATTTCTACATATTTTGTCAATTTTCATCAATATGCTTTTAGGAATGAGAGAGTGTGCTACCTGATAAGAGATCATATTCGTGTAGGATGTTTTGATAAGGAGAATTCTTCCAGCCAGTGATAACCATGTTGCTCCCCAAGAGTTAAGTCTGCACAGCTTTGTCATGGTGTTATTGTAGTCTTCAGCCTTTAGTCTCGTTAATGCCATTTTGATTCCCAAGTAGTTAAGTTCCTTAACTTCTTTTATTACCATGATTTTGTTTAGTTTACTTCTTCTTTTCTTGGTGACTTTTTTACCATATAAAACCATAGATTTATGGGAGTTAATGGATTGTCCTGTCCAGCCACAGTAGTTTTTGAGAGTTTTCTTCAATGTTCTAACATTTCTATTATAAGCGTCTGCTACAACCAGGACATCATCTGCAAACAACAAATGTGTTATATTCTCAACATTCGTAGTTAATCTTATCCCCAATTGTTCCTTTTTTCGATGGAGAGCTTTAGATAGAAGGTCGGATTATAAGATAAATAAACTCGGTGATAAAGGACATCCCTGTCTGAAGTCATAATGACCAGTGATCCAATTAGTTCTTCTTCCATTTATAACTATTGAGTATTTCAGATTAGAGACACATTGCATTATCAAATGTATCATTTCTCTGGAAAACCAGTCAGCTTCATAACTTGGTTTAAAGCTTCCCAGCACATGCTATCATAGGCTTGCTCCTTGCCAAGCTTCAAAAGAAAGTATCCTGGCTTTGCAACTGATGTCTCATCTTGCTAATAATCTCTTGAGCAATAGGGCAGTTATCTGAAATACTTCTACCCAGAAAAAATGCTCCTTGGTATTCAAATATAACTTTAGGGAGGCAGTTTTTAAATCTGTTTTGGATCATACCACCTGCCATCTTATAAACCATTTGTCAAAGGCAAATTGGTCTAAATTTAGAACATTCTTTGGCATTTTAAATTTTAGGAATCAATACTACAATAGTCTCCTTCCATTGCTCTTGCATCCTTCCCATTTTAAAAAATTCTTCAATTGCATTCCAAGTTGCTTCCTATACAATATTCCATTAGTTTTTGAAAAAATAGGCGTTGGCATCGTCAGGTCCTGGAGATTTGTTGTTATTCATACTCCTTACAGTAACTATTAGCTCCTCTTTAGTGAATTCAGCTTTCAATGTTTTGACCATGTCTTCCTTAATGCAATCTAAAATATTGAAATTTGGCCACTCCAAGTTACAGTTGCATTTACTCCATTTATTTAAGAAGAATTTCTCCATAATCTCATGGATAGATTCTTGATTTGATTCAAAGATTCATCCTCTCGAGCAATTTGTAATATCTGGTTGCTTCTCTTCTTAGCTGTTGCAAAGGTATGATAGTAACGTGTGTTATTTTCACCTTCTTCCATCCATTGACACTTGGATCTTTGTCTCCACCATGTAGATGTTCTAGCCAAATTTATGTTGAATTCAACAACCTTACTTCTAAGGATTAGAAGGTTCTCCTGGCTCAAGCCTCCTTCCCTTGCTTCTCTGTTTTGTAAATGCATGATTTCATTCTTTTGTACTTGTGTCTTCAAGTTCAGGTCCTTCAACTAATTTTTGCTCCAAAAATAAAGGTTTTTGAGAGCCCTTTTAATCTTTCTTTGAAGAATTTCATTCGAACTTCCAAATTCCTTCTTTCTCCAAGATTTTTCTATGATGCCCCTTGCAGCCTCATACGAACACCACAAGTTCTCAAATATGATTTCTCTATTATTTGGCTGCTTTTTATTGTCATTTTGGAGAAGAATTGGATAGTGGTCCGATGATATTCTAGGTAGGTTCTTGACGACTGCATTCAAGAATTCCATCATAGCTTTAGAATTTAACCAAATTCTTTCCAATCTGTCCCGAATTCTTGCTAGGCCTTCTTTGTTGTTACACCAAGTATAATTGGGACCATTAAAACCATTATCATGGTAATCATTATTGGTCATAAATTCCTTCATTTCTTATGGACCTTGATAGAATAAAAATTTTTTTCAACCCATCTTCTCATTTTTGTTCATTAAATAGTTGAAGTCTCCTCCTACTATACACGGCTCTTCACTATTCATGTTGTCCAATATCAACTTCCATAGCTTTCTTCTTTCATACATATTTTTGTTACCATAAACAATACAAACTTTGGCCATTTTACCTTTAGGAGTTGAAAGGTTGTCTATTATAACTTGATTAGAAGAATCAATGATTTTGAACGAAGCCGTTCTATGTTTCCATAATGCTAGGATTCCACCTGAGGTTGCTGAAGATGCCATATGGTGAAACTCCCAATCATCACCAACAAGTTTCCTGACGTCCTCTCTACCCAAATTTTCAACTTAGTTTCTATCAAACCAATGAAGAATAGACCATTTTTTCCAATCAGATTCCTTAAGTAGTGGGAGGCTTCTTTCTTTTATGCTCCCCTACAATTCCAAAACATTATTGAAGACATTAATTGGGATGTGGGGTTAAGGCCCCAACCTTCTCCACTCCTCCTTCACCTTTCCTCATTTTATGGTTCCCTTTTATAAGTAATAGCAATTTCATTTCCTTAGCTACTTTGGTTTTGGTGCTAGACACCTTTGTGATATTATTGCTGAGTTCCGTATGCTCCTTTGATTTAGAAGTATTGAGTTCCTCTACAGTAGTCTTGGCCGGTTTATTATTGTCATCATGGTCAGCTTGTATCTCAACCCTTTCAATCAGTAAGTTCAATGATTGTTCTTTAGCATTTTTATTCAAAATTTCAAATGGATTGCTTATGATTGCAATTTCCTAGTCTATTTTTTCATAAGTCCAACATGTTAGGACCTTAGAAAAATC